TATTTTGAGATAATTAAAAGACATATATTGGGAAATAGTATTGTATACATGTATATGGACTCAGACATCTCTAGGATCCACATAGCCACACACAAAAAAGACCTAAAAATCGCAAAAAAAAAAAAAAAGAGAGAAAACGTCGAAACACTAAAAGCATTTACTACAGGGCTGGGGGGTGTGGCTCAACAGGACAGCACTTGGGGCAGAGCCTAGGCCCTGGGTTCAATCCCTAGTACTGCCACAAAACAGCCAAAACTAACCAACTAAACCAACCCAAACAAACCAAATCAAAAAACAAAAAACCCTCCAAACCTCCAGTTCTATATGGCAAAGCATTGACTGATTTCAATTTTTTCCTTTGTAGGCTAGGGAGATAGCTCGGCGGTCTAAGCGCCTGCCTGGCAAGTATAAGGACCCAGGTTCTATCCTGGTACCACATGCCATGCCGGCCACTGAAACCTGGCATGGTGGCACACACCTGTAATCCCAGCACTAGGGAGCCTGAGGCAGAAGGATCACTAAGAGTCTGAGCTGTGTAGCAAGACCCTGTACCATATATATATATATATATATTTTCACTTTGCCTATTTTATGTCCTCTTCACAATACTTATGACTTGTACAATAAAACAATAGATTTAAACATTTCATTATAATACCGTCTAGGCATACATCTTGTTTTATGCACGCTTGTTTTTTATTTTATTTATTTATTTATTTTTATACATTTGGTGCAGGGGCTAACTGCACAGCTTGGCCTTGTAGTGATCCTCCTGTTTTCAGCCTCCCCGGTGCTGGGATCACAGGCATGTGCCACAATGCCCAGACTGTGCACACTTGTCTTTTTACTAGTGCTGCTTAGTCGGGGACTGAGTGTGTGGGCCTCCCATCAGTTCCACTGCAGAAGTTCTAACTCCCAAGTGACTGCATTTAAGGCAGTTGAGAGGTGATAAGGATAAAATGCAGTCATAAGTAGAGCATGCTAGGGGCCGGGGAGATAGCTCAGTAGAATAAGCACTTGCCTGGCAAGTGCAAGTGCCTGAGTTCAACCCCTGGTTCCGCCAAAAAAAAAAAAAAAAAAAGAAGAGCATGCTAGCCCCATAGGACTGGTGTCCTTTTTTTTTTAAAAAAAAAATTTATTTATTTATTTAGTGTGTGTGGCCAGCTCAGCCCACCAGGGGGCGGGGCTGGCGGGCATGTGGTGCTGTGTTTTGCTTAGCTTAGCTTGTTCTAAGAAGTTGCTTTAGACCACTGAGCCATCTCACCAGCCCCTGGTGTCCTTATTGGAAGATGGAAAGGTCAGACAGGAGGACCTGAGTTCCCATCCAGCCTGGCAATTTAGCAGCTTACTGAGACTGTCTCAAAAAAAAAAAAGGGCTGGGAAAATGGCTCAGTGGAACAAGCGCTTCCCTGGCAAGCGCAAGGGCAAGTTCAATCCCTGGTTCCACCAAAAAA